GCAACCACAGCCACCCGTCCATTTGCGCAGGTCTCTGTGGATCTTATCACCGACCTCCCTGTATCCTCGGGCTTCGACAGTGTCATGGTCGTGGTAGACCATGGGCTTAGTAAGGGGGTGATCATTACCCCTTATCACAAAACCATATCTTCCGAAGGAGTGGCGAAACTTTTCCTAAAACATGTTTTCAAACGCTTTGGTCTCCATGACAAAGTAATTTCAGACAGAGGACCCCAATTCCTCTCCAAATTCTCGCTAGAATTGGCACAACTCCTTGATTACACCATCGCTCCTTCCACCGCGTATCATCCACAGACAGACGGACAAACAGAACGGCTAAATTAGGAACTAGAAACCTATCTACAAATATATTGCCAGAACAACCCGTCCGAATGGGTAGAACATCTCCCTATCGCTGAATTCATCCACAATCATCGGAAACATGCTACAAAAGATGCTTCCCCCTTTTTCATCATGATGGGATATGAACCAAAGGCTCTTCCACACATTCTCCCTGAATCAAAGATACCTGCAGCAGAGGAACGAGTAAAACTTCTCCAAAAGATAAGGGAAGAAGCAGTAGCCTGTCATAACATCGCTATGCAATGAATGACGGAAAGATCCTTCGGGCAGAAGTACCAACCGTGGAAAGTTGGAGATAAGGTATGGCTATCTTCTACCAACCTCAGGTTAAAACTTCCATCTTGGAAACTCGCTCCGAAATGATACGGACCATTCGTTATCTCCACAGTACTATCACCGATCACCTTCACACTCCAGTTACCACCGCAATGGAAGATCCACCCCACGTTCCACGCTTCTCAGTTATCGTCCTATAGTGAAAATAACGAACACGGTCTGAACTTCTTAGAACCACCACCTGATATTCTAGAAGAAGAAGAGGAATATGAAATCGAAGCCATCCTTGCGCATAAAGGAAATGGGAAAAGACACCGTTATCTGGTATCTTGGAAAGGATACTCTTCCGCCAGTAACAAGTGGATTCCTGAAGAGAACCTGGGAAATGCCGCAGAGACCCTCGACGCCTATAAAGCCAGAAACTCGCTTTGAAATCAAAAACTACATCGACGATATACTCTTTACCCAAACCCAAGAACCTCCAGCAAGAATGTCTTTCCCAACCTCTTTCACACTCCCCTATGAATCCACCTTCTCAACCACTATGTTCGCAAATGATGAAGACCGATATGAAGCCTTTATCACCAATGCCGAAGATCTCACTCTCATCAAGGCAGCTATGCTCTGTCCCCAACACGCTATCGAACTCAACAGAATCCTCTTCGAAAGAAATGCATACTCCATTAATCTCCTCGTCAACATCATCAGAGCCACAGACCTTATCGAAAGACTTACGCGCCTTGTCGAGGACGAATCAGTTCGACATGGCATTATGCACCTTCAAAGGCGTATACACAACTTTACTCTGCGTCTTATTCCTGATGAGGTTAAGATGATATTAGAACCGTCATCCATATCGTCGCAGAACGATCAGCAGGCGTTGCTCAGTCCGCCTTCTCCATCCCCTGTCAATAGAACAACTGACAACCCGCCCCCATCTTACCACAATGCAGTACCTGTACCTCCTCCTCATATTCCTAACAAGCTGTTGGCTGCTGTCAATAGTCTCACGCAAACCACGGAAGCCATGATCGCTGCTCTCCATATAGAAGAACAATCTCCTCCCATAGAACGACAAATCACACCACCTGTAGATACCCCCATTGAAGAAACTTCCCCGCCTAACGCCTCCATCGAAACACAAAATCACCCAGAAAACCTTTATAAAGCATTCTCCGCCACCCATGAAGAAATAGAAGAAAACCCTAATGAGCAATATCTCTCCTACTACGAAATCAGAGATCTTTCAAACGCGCTCGAAGCACTTCATATTCATCCTCCAATGACCATTCCTAAATCATTATCCACGCATACATTTAAAGATGGGATTGTCCCTGTCGAGACGCTAGGAGCAACTGCTCCTTCTACTCCTGCTGAGCTAATCGTGGAGGTGGAACGACAAGATGTCGTCTGTGATCACCCTATCGAATGAAAATCATCTACCGCTCTTCGAAAGAGGACACGTGGGCAGTCCTATAAAGGAAAAGGAAAGAAGCGGGCGACTAGTGTGGATGAAGCATTAAGCCCGCGACCTGGTCCCTCCCCGTTATGCTCTACTTCATCCAATCCAGACGAAAATCGGGTTTGCCAATACTGCAAAACTCTTGGGCATTGTCAAGTACATTGCTCAGACTACTATTGCAGAGTATGCAGAGAGTTAAGTCCTGGACATCTTTCGTTCTATTGTCCTAGATATACGGGCAGCACGCCTACCACTCTGACTTGGAAGGATGAGGGATTTTACACCGCACTAGCTCTCTGGGAAAACACCAGAGATGAGCAATACATTGCACAGTGTCAGGAAGAAGAAGCTTTCTATTGTTCTGAGCAATTAAAGGGAGGTTCTGATGACTTGGATTATTGCGATGACCCCATTTACTACGCTAACTTAGATGATTAAAGTCGGTGACTTTATGCCTAGTAGGGGGGTAATGTTACAATCATGCTTTTCTTTCGCTTCTCTGTTCTCTTTGTCCGATAGTACAATTCTCATTTATGATCACTTACCTTTCTTGGACTATGTACTTATATCTCACGACTACCTTGGTCCGTGCGCACATATTGACTTATTTAAGCACATGTATTAGCCTTGTAGAACTTCACTTGAATCTTACTAGGTTTTACCAGAACTTCCTTCGCTTAAGACCTCCAATCTTAAGTCCTCTGAACTAGCATTCTTAGTCGAAGCACTCCTTTGACTAAGTCTTTATAGAACCCCCTTCTTTTCTGAAGGACTTCACGAAAACTCAGCAGCTAGAAACTCTGTCGAGTCGCTGTTGTTAGAACTACCCTAGTTCGTAACAGATACCCTTCAATGTGCTTATGTCGCTTACCTCACTTACAGCTCTTTTTGGAAACTCACGTGGCTTTGTCACATGTTTTTGAGCGCCAACTCAATTGCCGTTGCAGTGCACTATTCAACACAAGTGTCCCTATTGTAATTGTTTATGGTAAATAATAAAACTGAAAATGGAACAATGTATGATATCATTATGCAGACAGGGGGGACAACAAAGATATATGTGATGACAGGACATGAATGACAAAAGGTTGTGAACAAATACATCAAAAGGAAACAAAGAGACTCAAAAAATGGAGAATGGGAGATCCAGGAGGACAGAAAATTGGGAATGGGAAACAGGAAGATGGGAGACGGTGTAGAGACTCGCGTGTCTCAATGCCGAGTATCCGGCCTTTATCCATACATTCCTATATGATCCAGCTCTAATCCAAAGGACCAGTCTCGCGCGCCTTACCTGCGCTCGCGCTATGCACGCACATCCGTGCGCCTCCTCCTAGGTCTTCGCGCTATCGTCCGTCCATTCGTCCCATGTCCTTACTGATTTGCTGGTGCATTATTCCTATCTCCTTCATTGAACTAACAAATCTTCGGTCCAAAATCCGCGCTACATATAGAAAGTCTATTTAAACTTAGTTATAATTAGAGTTGATATGGTTACTTGGTTTGGGAGTGCGCTCGGAAGCGCACTGCATAGTGTAATCTCCATTCTTAAATAGAGAAGGGAATCTTTGGGGTTCTGGTACTTACTTTCCCCTTATCTTTGTGTACTGGAAAGTGTATAGATCACCTCCTCACTTGATATCTGATCTGATTCTCCTGTCAGCCATCCATCTGTGCATCCACTCTTCAAATAGGGCCTTTCCCTTAACGTTCTAGGCGCGCCTTCGCTTCGTGCGCGCGCATTCTCAAACCTCCCGCTCACGCGCGCATCTCGCGCGCCTTTGCCTCGCGTACACACGCCTTCGCGCGCGTTACCTTCTCTTGCTTGCTAGCGCCCGCCTAGCTCATACAGTCTCCCTCCATTTTTATTTCGAGGAACTTCTCTCAGTGGTTGTCCTTTGGGTCGAGTCGTTGTCTCGTATCCTGGTCTTGCTGTAGAGCACCCATTTGTTTTAAGTGTTTTCACCTATAGTCAAGATTCCTCTTCTACAACGGGAGACGGGAGACGGGAGACAGACAGGACATGATGAAAAAATACATACATTCAATGATGCTGTTACATGTTTTGTAATTTTACTTTTGTCAAACTCCTGCTCAAAGAATGTTGAACTGACTGATATTATGTACTTTTAGTGTTTTTGAAATGTTGCTCATAAATGTATTGTCAAAATCCACTATCAAGGCATGATCTTATTCAAAATTCACAATTTATTAGGATGCAGCCTGAGGTCAGGAAGCCAAAGGAGGGCACAGCCCTCCTTGGCTTCCTGTGATGAAGGAATAATGCTCATAAGGAGCCTTCTGAATTGTTGGGATAAAGCTGAGGCCAGAAAGCTAAAAAATGAGTGCAAAGCGCTCTTTTTTGCTTCCTGTGCCGAAGGCAGAACAGGTGTGTGGTAGTAGGGAAAGACGGTGACCTGAAGATCCCTGAGCAGTGGGGAAGGAGTAAGTGTTATCACAGATGACCTTGGATGCAAGCATGAAAGTGGATATGATAAGATGGTGACCTGAAGATTTTTGAGTAGTGGGAAAAAAGTGAGTGTCATTACAGATGGCCTTGGATGTGAGCATGAAAGTGGATACAAAAAGACAATGACATGAAGATTTAGTAGTGGGGAAGGAACAAGTATTGTCATAGATGACCTTGGATGCGAGCATGAAAGCGGATACAAAAAGATGGTGACCTGAAGATCCCTGAGCAGGTACAGATCAGATTGCTGGTCACATCAAAGCCCCATTCAAGGCAGGGCCAATTTGGCGAAAAGACGAGCAGGATAGGATAGTTTGGGCACAATTCGAAAACATGTTATTTTCACATCAGCATAGCAATGATCATGTAGCTCAATTCCATTTGTCAAGTACATAGTGGAAATTTTTAGTTGCCATTTGTCACATCTATTTATGCATGTGGTTCATTAACCATCTTTTTACCTGTCCGGAGTACTCCCCTTCATTTTCTAACTCACAAGTCAAGCTTCCCCATGTCATTGCTTATGCCCTTCACTGCACTAAACTCCATGCTTCAGTAACCTTTGCCACCCTCATTCTCCTCCAACGACTCAAGGAGCACTTTTCCACTGCTTGGCACTCTTCAGGTCACTGTCTTTTCATACCCACTTTCATGCTCACATTCAAGGTCATCTGTGACTACACTTCCTCCTTCCACACTGGTGGATCTTCAGGTGACCATCTTTTTGTATCTGCTTTCATAACAACACTCACTCCTTTCCCACTGCTCAGGGATCTTCATGTCACCGTCTTTTCATATCCGCTTTCATGCTTGCATCCAAGGTCATCTGTGACAACACTCCTTTCCCACTGCTTAGGGATCCTCAGGTCACTGTCTTTTTCATATCCATATTCATGCTCACATCCAAGGTTATCTGTGATAACACTGACTCCTTCCCCACTGCTTAGGGATCTTCATGTCATCATCTTTTTGTATCCACTTTCATGCTCACATCCAAGGTCATCTGTGACGACACTTACTCCTTCCCCACTGCTGGATCTTCAGGTCACCATCTTTTTGTATCCGCTTTCATGCTCGCATCCAAGGTCATCTGTGACTACACTTTCTCCTTCCACACTGCCGGATCTTCAGGTGACCATCTTTTCATATCCGCTTTCATGCTCGCATCCAAGGTCATCTGTGATGACACTCACTCCTTTCCCACTGCTGGATCTTCATGTCACCATCTTTTCATATCCGCTTTCATGCTTGCATCCAAGGTCATCTGTGACAACACTCACAGGAAAGCCATACCAGTGACAAGGTGGTACTCATCTGGTGTGTTTGCACCGAGTTTGTCATAGATGGGTCAGGCCATGCAGGAGTCATGCCAGCTGCCTGGTGTATTCATTATATGGGACATATAATTCTAAGTACTTAGATTTATTTATTTGAGTATAGCTACATATGTACTTCTCTACTTGAATCAGAATTGTTCCATCTTTGGACCCACTGGTAAAAGTTTGACTTCCGCTGGGAGACCATGAGAGTGACTGCACCATGTAGCTATGACCTGTCCAAATGCCTTTGATCATCTCTCATCAGTTTGGAAACACTACTGTTGGTGAGGGATATAGATGACATGATGATACATATGTCAATCACATGTATCATCTCATTAATTGATCATCACATGCAGCTAGAAAAACAGTTCACTTTGCAAGGGAAATCAGCTACAGCATATAGAATTTATTAATACAGGTAGCTAGAATTACTCTAAGGTACCTATGACCACCACTTCCCCCAGGTTATCAAATGATTTTACAAAGATTTGAAAGTGCTGTTGAGAAGTTCAGATGTTGAACGAGATGATATAATGCCAAAGTGGCTAAGATTAAGAGCTAGTTCGGTAACTCAAGGTAAAGTAAATTTGCCAACTTCAAGGATGATGTAATGTCAGCATAGTAGCTTCCAGTTTGGAGACTGACATCAGAGCTTGAACTTCCTTTGATCCCATGTCTAGCTATCATATACCTCAGCATACAACTCAAGATCTATGCAATCGGAACAACATCTGGGCTAGTGTCATATCAATAGTGTTATCAGCTCAAGTCCACATCCTCTCCATGGCTCAGGAGTCATCTCATACTACTACAAAGAGGGCTGTTTGGACCGACACAGAGGTTGATCAGTTTCTCCTCTACCTATCCAACAATCGGGACAAGATTGGCGATGCTGGCAACCTCAAAGATGCAACGTACAATGGCACTGCAGAGGCTATTGCTGAGTACCTGGAGCATGGTCCAGTGAAGACTGGGGCAATGTGTAAGACAAAATGGGTGTCAGTAAGTCATATCAATATATCATTATTTATAGACCTGATAAGAGATCGTGTAGTTAAAGCAGACTTTCAATGCTATTCAGAAGTATCGCCAGCAGTCTGGTGTCCACTGGGACAATATTAGAGGGGCAAATGTTGAGGGCGAGGCTTCAATCTCAGTATGGAATGAATATGTTTCCAAGAAGGTACATCAAGTTCGCTAATGCTATTTCATGTGTCTCACTGTTTGATAATAGGGAAATTCAGTCATGTGCCCTTTTTGTGCATCAGGATGGAGACACTATGAGCAAATGGACGGCATAATACCACGAGGCAGTGGTGCCTGAGGGCGCACAGGGTACCAACCCAATATAGCTCTCCCCCCTCCCTTAAGCTCAAGCTCCAGTCCTAGTGTACCCACAGGTGAACACAATACCATTGATCCTGTTATTGTCACGTCTAGTGCTGGTGTTGCTGGTCCTAGCACTGCCCCTGCAGCAGCTGCCCTCACTTCTACACCTGCTTCTCCATCCTTCATGCCTCCTCCTGGCAAATGTTCTCACACTAACATGCTTCACAAGCTGACCGCCTCATCTGCATCTACCTCAGTTTCTCAAATGCAAATGCCGCCTCCCTCCGAGTCAAGCTCTATCAAAAGAGCAAAGACAGTATCAGGCCGCGCATCAGGCCATGGATCAGGAGGCCATGCACAGACTCAGGGTGGTTTCTAGCAGGCCCCGCTGCTGCAAAACAGTCTGGTAATCTTCCCACATGCAGCGCGCAATACGATTGCACACTTCCTTCATGCCTCCTGCTCCATCAGAGATCTCCTCATCATCGGGGATCCCTCGGTGCTTTGGGTTGTTGTAATCAAAGTGTTCATCATCATCATCATCATCATCATCATCATCATCATCATCATCATCATCATCATCATCATCATCATCATCATCATCATCATCATCATCATCATCATCATCATCATCATCCAGGAGCACATTGTTGTCAGGGTTGTGAGTGGATATGAAATTGTGAATCGTGCATAGTGCGGCAGGTATACATGCCTGGATGGTCATAGGATATTCAGGCGATAGCAAAAGAATGCGAAAATGGTGTTTTAACATGCCAAAGATCCGCTCAATCACATTTTGAGCGGATGAGTGTCGCAGATTGAAGAGCTCTTCTTTAGTTGTTGGTCTGCAAACATAGAATAGTTATTAGAAAGCCTAGAGTATGGAATAAATATAAATAAAACATACCTGAGATTAGTGCATCCTCATTCAGCCAAATGATAACAGACACTGCGGTAGGAGACTAAAAGCTCATCACACAATGGGAACCCCACATCTGCTAAGAAATATTTGCCAGGAGGGACATACAAGCTGCCTGAATGAGCCTCGTCATAGAGGCGTGCATCTGTGGTGGATCCCTCCCAGCCAGTGAGAGTGTATGAGAACTTGAGATTGAAGGTGCAGGCGAATAGACAGTTCTGAGAAACAAAACCCTTGCAATTACGATATGAGGGGCGGTCAGATGATGAGGGGCAAGCATGTATGTGGCTGCCGTCAATCGCACTGATAGTGTCCTTGAAGCAAGGCCAGAATTGAGGGTTGTTATGGATGTTGTTGGAGATGTCATCAGTGTCGTTGGGAGAACATACATAGGTTGTGTAGAACAAGGGGGACGCAAAGATGAACAACATCTTCCGGAAATACCTGGAATTAGGTGTGAGCTCATCATAAATAACATTAAAAACAAACTTACTTTGAGATGGTATTGTTTGACCATTGAAAATGCTCCCCAACATGACAGATTGTTAGCCCTGTAACGCACATATATAAAAAGATGGCAAGTTGCTCTTCGAGCGAAACGTGAGCTAGCATAACCCCAAACATGAAGTTCGGCTATGAGCACATGAAAGACATCTGCATGCATGCCAAGCTCGCATCACATACAATCCGGGACCCATTCTTCACCTGAGAGGGCCAATGTGTAGGGATCTGCACGGGTATTGGTAACCCATGCGGGTCATGGGTACGGGTACTACTGGGGTACAGGTACAGGTTGGGATTCTAAGACCCACACTCTTACCTGTACCCCAGCTATACCTGTGCCTTCCATAAATGGTAGCACCTCCTGCATCAGTAATAGTGGACACCATACTTCCCGCGTGCATGCTACAACTGGCACCACCACCAGCACCTAATGCGCCTTCCCAAGTCCACCAACTCCACGTTCACAGTGCACGCGCCTGAAACGCGTCAACAAGTGTTGACGTGATGCAAACACATGCAGACAACAGGCGAAGACGAAAGGACAAGAGAATCGAGGAAGGGAGAAGGGATGGTATAGAGATGAAGGAGGAAAGAGGCACTCGAGGAGACAAGACTTTGGGCATGCTGAAAGTGAGTACTCACATTGAAGACTCTACCCCCAGCAACAACAACAACGTCATACGCGTCACGTCGTCAGCGCCTATCTTCATGCACCCAGCACTTGCACCACCACCAGCTTTCACGCCAACACCACCATCCACAATGCCAACACCACCATCCCATCCACAACGCCAACACCTACACGACACACTGACTTGCCAGCATTGAGCATACACACTCAGACCATGCCAGCGAATGCTGGCGTGGCATACCCGGGGGTTTACCCGTGCAGTTCCCTACCAATGTGTGGTATGCCTCAGGTACAGAGTCCTGAAGCAATAAGTGTGTAGCAGTCAGAAGGACACTGACAAGTCATGCAATGTGACGTAGGATTTGCATATGATTCTCCCAACGGCCTGCAGCTGGTGGCTGAACAGCCTGGGCTTGAGCAAGTTGTTGGAGCAAGGGGTCAATGGTATCCATAATCTATCCCTACAGCAATGAGTGCGATGGATAACAAGTACTACTGATATTGATATAATAAGGTTGAAACTCAGCTATTGGCACCTACTGTGCCGGCCTTACATCATCCTTGAAGTTGGCAAATTTACTTTACCTTGGGTTACCAAACTAGCTCTAATTAGTAAGGTTTTTGCTTATGGTAAGCAAAGTGTCCATGTTTCGGCTTTCCTTTCTCCATTGCACGCCGGGGCATGCAAAGATTTGTTCATTTATTATCTCAATGAATTCCAGTCTCCTGAAAACATCATTATCATTGTATTATCTGCATATACATGTATACTATTGTCATTATCATCATGATGTTGACTCCATATCAAGTCTCATTTTGAAGTCCGACGATGATGCCGAACTGAGCTACAATGTAACAATGTAGACACTTATATGATGTCAGCATTTTCAACGCTTAACTGATGTTTACTGAGCTTGCCGAGTTTTGAGGAACATGTTACCTCAAATGCCACTAGAAACTTTCAGCTCACATGATAAGGTACGAGGTGCAATCTCATGTACGCAAACATTATGTTGATGATTTGCATTAGACATTGAGAGCATCAAACATACAGAACACTGCAACAATGTTTTCTCCAACTGCCAATCAATTTGTTTCTGGTGAATTTATGACAGTTCTTTTGATTGCCTACATTAATCACTATCCAAAATCCGCTACCAATGAAGTCTTACGCTGGCCTATCACACATGTCGGAAGCACAGGTAAGTCTTACAGTATTGAGCATGAACATTTCGACTTACTTGTGAGAATCCCCATTCAACTCCTACGCCCATCTCAACTCCTATGCCTATTTCAACGCCTGCACCCTCGCAGCAATGCTGGCATCAGAGACGTCGTTTTCGGCTCAACAAAGAATATTCTTGGGACTGGTCCGTGGATATTTACTTTTGAGTTTCAGCTTTATAGGAGTTTATAGGAATGCATATTGTCAGCATGGCATATGGTGTCTATGCTCTGTATGAGTCTCTGGGTGCTGAGTACGTACCACTTTCATTGACAGCCAGTCTCAAAACTCATGTTTATAGTGTCATTATCTCGCATCTCCCTTTTAACTCTAGTGTCACACCACTTGTCCCCCTTCTCGCATGGCCGACGGACTGACAGGCACATGCCCAGGAATTAATACAATGGGAAATGTTCTTCTTGCTCCCAAGCTGAATGAATGGTGGTCATACGTTCATCCCTACCATTTCTTTTCCTTCTCCTGGTGCGAATTTGTTGAGTGTAGCATGACCGAAATATGGAGTTTGTCGAAAGTTTGTCGAGAATAGTGAACCATTACTTGGAGGCACTAGTGACTGCGTATTGTAGGAGCATATTTAAGTATTGCTCTGGTAGCCTCTGACAGATCATAACAGATGGTATTGTCAAGTGCTCAATGGACGCTTCGAGCGTACGCGTTCCTCCAAGCTAAAATCCACGGACCTATTTCTGATTGCCTCATCTCACGACTGACATGATCTATGCGACAGACGACACCTGGACATCAGTCCGAACGGAACCTAGACTCTTGTATCTCACGTAGGCGCTCATACTCGTCTTGTAGGCATTTGAGGGATGGATCGCAAAGGCGCAATTGTGCAAGTATATATAATCACCGGGACCCAACAATTGATGCAAAACACTCCCTCCGAGGTGTTCATCGTTTTGCAGTGTTTCATAGTAGAGAATTCTCTTTTTCAGTCTGCAACAAGGCGAAAAACGATCATCAGGTTTCCATTTACTGAATCTCGCTACAGGCTCAACATCCAGAATTCCCCTCCCGATCAGTGACACTAGGTAAGGCTTCGCAGATTGCAAGAAGAATTGTGCTTTGCTTATCAAGGACTTCTTTGATCCCAACCAGAGCTCCACCCAAGACCACAAATTCATGTGCGATCTTACCTAGGGATTGAGTCAGTTCCCCTTCGAACGATTTGGATTGCCTGCTGAGGTTCCTGCGTTTTGATGGCGGGAGTTTCGTGGCGGGCCCTGATGCTGCTCACATGTTGGTAATGTCGCTATGCACAGTCTGCGTACGGTAGTGAGTACATCATTCGCAGGATCAATGAAAAATTGAGCGCGCACTCACATCATTCTCGTTACGTATCTTGCGTTTTAGACCTAATCCATTGACATCTTCGAAGTCGCCATCACCAGATTCTAATGCCTAAATCAGACCCATCAGAATAATCTCGTAAAACCTGCAAACCTATGACATACCTGTTCAAGGTCTGGAGGTGAGAGCTTGAGGACTTTGTACCTTTCCATCTCTCTATACCTATAGCAGCCACAGGAATATACAGGGGCGCCTTGCCCATACACATAATATTCATGGCAGTCCTTGTGGCTTTCCGGGGTAGAACCCCTTGATTGATCGTCTCCTGTAGGAATTTCAATCTCGATGCTCGTGTTCATCAAGATGGCTTCAGCTCCATCATTGAAATCAGATGGATGGGAGTCCATGCTACGGGAATCCCAGTCAGAGTCGAGTGACATGTTTCTTGTTGAGCAGCCTTTGAAGGGTAAGTCGCTTTATAGTTTCGGAACCAGTCTCCTACCCTGACATCTACTTCACTCTCACGCCCCGATTAGGATTTCCTGCCTTATATATCATAGTTTGAATTTTCCACTATGACCATATGTTCTGGTCGCTACACACAATAGATGTGGGACCAAAATTTCAACAGTCCTGAAGGAAACCTGTTAGACTGGAACATGCATGGCTGGAGAACAACAAATTTAGATACCGCACTACTCCGATTAAAATCTCATACTTAAGGTATGATTCATTCTGGGTTGTATATACTACTAGTCCGTAATATGTCTTCGCCATCAATCCCATCATCCTGTGGTCTTTTTGGCTCTCTTCATGGAGGCGGCAAGGGGTTCCCAAACAACTGTGCAAGCATAAAAAATGCTGAGCGCAAAAATGAATTACAATCATATCTGGTATGAATCCCTTTCTTTCACTTATCCGCAAGCACTGAGTAATTTGCCATAGATGTCTCTCGACAGACTTGATAGGGATGAAGATGACCAGGATCAGTTGTTCATTCAACTCAGCGTTGACACTGTATATGCAAGTTACGTTGCAGCACGCAACCGTGTTCAGCAGTACACCCAACTATTGATACTTCTGAAGCGCGAGGAAGATCTGTGGGCACAGAGAGTTGAGAAGGCAAGAGTTGTATTGCCAGAATACAACACTAGATGGGTGCCAAGCTTGTAGCAGTCTCGAACCATTCTGCCACTGCTCCCTCCGAGTCGTCACTTACTTTTATATTTTAACAATGCAGTCATCGCCCAATTCTCACCATAGCTGGCCTTTTTTCTTTTTCAATACCACTTCAAATGTACTGTTGTGTACTGGATTTTGATCATACAATGTATCCTTGATGACGACAATAATATTGTGTTCACTACTGGCATATCATTCTTGTAGCTCGAGACTCCAACAGCCAAGGTCATCAAGAACTTCGCTGTCTGAGTCCTTCACTCCGTGCCATTCAATTATGGTTCTTTATGGTTTGGCTGAGCCGAGGGACGTCAAACACTTCACTATTTGTATGGCACTATTGACGAGATGCCTAAATAAGAATGTATAGTAACAGGTTGTATACTAACACTCAATCTTTTTGCTATTGCAGCAGCCACTATAGTACTGGAATGCGGCTACTTCATCCACCCAGAATTCTGTTCATCAGCATCATCCTTCTAATGGTGTCCTGCGGTGCATTACATTGCTCATGGGAGAGAGAGACAGATTCTCGCGGACTCAACAGGCATCGTATGACGTGCAAGTATTACCAGAAAGAAAGCAAGTTAGCTGCTGAGAAGAGGTGGAACCATGCAAGAGAGTCGACATCACGAAATTTGACCTCACAGCTCAATGCAACTGGCAGTAACAGTGTCAATCCTGTAAGTCATTAATCTACATACTACTAGCCGAGTTGATTCACATGCCTTTCGATCCTTAGCTCGCACCTATCCGGTCTGTGAAGATTCATTCCTCAAAGTCTATAGCCTACTGTATACAGACAGAATTCCTGCCACCTGAGCCTGTCAACCAAGATGGTACTGCTCGCGTGAGTGCCTTGATTTCTCCATCCGAGGATTTTGGTGTTTTGGATACTGCCATGGAGGATGCCACTGAAGGCTTTTCAGGTGTGTGCCATCGTGACACTTCGTTATGTCTCTACTTTATGAATTACTAGTAGGCTCAGGTCAACATCCCTCGCAACGCACACTTATGGTCCCAAGATCTTTCGATGACTTTCTGCCCGCCGACGAAGATACCAACCTTTCTGATTCGTCTGGACACGGCCCATCTACTCTCCCAGAAATTGACAATCCACCACAGCACAGAATTCAAAGAGTTCTTTTGACGTTGCGCGACTCTCTCCAAATGGCATTCACTGTGATTGGACTCAGTCGAAAATACCCTAGGCGCCCCTCATTTGAGCCCGACAAATTCATTCCATCCTCGCTATTAGCTACAACGTGTCCAATGATTGCGAATGTGCACAATACTCAAGAACTTGACCCATCACATGGGGTCTCTGGACCACCCTATCCCTTTGCCAACATGACCATCTACCGTCTTATAATGTGGATGAATTCTGGTAGCCATCAAAAATCAGAGGCAGAGGTATTGCCTCTTGTTAAAGATGTGGTCCAGGCGGAGGATTTCAATCCCAAGGATCTGGATGGATTTTCGGTAAGGAGGAGTCTGCGCACATTGGACGATAACGGCGGAAAGGGGACTGTCACCTTTCCGGATGATTGGCAGGAGACAGATATCACAATCGAGATACCTGCGAGGTCGAAGGAGGACTCGTCCAGGTCATTTACCATCCCTGGCTTTCACTATTGCCCGCTGGTTGCCACAATTCGTTCTGTGTTTGCTGATATCCAAGCTAGTGCATACCATCTGTTCCCTTTTCAGCGCGTGTGGAAAGATCCCCTAGATGGCCATCAAGAATGCATGTTCGATGAGCTCTACACCTCGGACTCCTGGTTAAATGCTCAGGATGACTTACATAGGCAGCCAAGAGAACCTGGCTGTTCGCTGGACCGTGTTATTGCCGGACTGTCATATCCCATATATTCACGCTTCTCTTCCGGACTTCGGACCCTGAGATCCGATCCGGTCTGATGTATAGATCCGCTTCCGATCCGATTTACGATAAGCTTTCTAATTCATTTCCTGTTCATATAACGTTAAACACAGCCTATTCGGTATTTCCTCTTCCCGGTGTTTCGGTTATACTTATTACCGGTATGCTTACTGATCTGTTAACCTATGTCTCATTTCCGACTCGCGTTTGATAACCTTTGCACATGCTTCGTACATAGCCTCAGACCTTTGCTTACTGATACTTCTGTTATCCTCATAGTATATAAACTCGTGTATATGTCCTGTAGTACCTCAGTTCGAATATCATCTTAGTTTGTCCTCTTTCTGTCCTCCGGACTTGAGTCCTTCTTACTCTTGTCACCCTCCGAGACTTCAGATAGATTCCGATAGTCTATATACTCGGCTCTACCTTTGGGTAGTCTTTACTCTGTTAGTTTCTAGTTTGGATACGTCCGGATTAGCCTTATACGCGTTTCCGATATCCGGAAGACATCCGGATATACTACGAGACCCGTCCGGACCTTCGGACATGTTATCGTTAGTACTTTGAAATAAGGGACAGTACTTGGGAAAGGGGCACAGCGTACAAGCTGAGGCCGAAGTCCTTCGGATCCGACCCTACGAGAGTACGACCTTAACATGGACTCATGTTCTTTTCAGATGCAACACATCTTGTGACGTTCGGAATGGCCAAAGTGTGGCCCCTATACTTATACTTCGGAAATTTAATGAAGTATGCGCGCTCAGCACCCAAATCCGGTGCATGTCATCTTGTCGGTTTTTTCCCTTCTGTAGGTGAATTTCCTCCCACACTGTTGTCTCTCTCATGTTGAATTTTTAGCTTCCGGATAGTGTTAAATATGTCTTTAGCACCTTAGATCGAATATCGAAAAGCGGCATGGCAGTGCTTCATATGCATTGCCAGCGCGACTTGTTTCATGCATATTGGAATCATCTCCTGGATACAGAATTCCTTCATGCTTACTGCCATGGAATTGTGCTCTTGTGCCCAGATGGAGTATATAGAAGGATCTTTCCACGTATTTTCACTTACTCGGCCGATTATCCAGAAAGGTTCATTTCATTTTTTTTCATTTTTCTTCATTGACGTACCATTCATTTCATCAGGGTTCTAATAGCTACAATCAAAGATATGGGTTCTTGCCCATGTCCACGATGTCTCCTGCCGAAGGCTTTGTTCGACCTCTTTGGTCTGTTTAGAGACCTGCAAGATCGCCTCGCTGATCTTCGAGCTTACTGTCTGGAGAGTGTGACCATGGCCCGCAGCTTCATCTATAGCAGGAGAAATACTGTCAATGGCTCAAAGGTACAGTCAACTCTTGGTGAAGGATCCTGGGTGCCGACCATGGTGAGTTTCTTCGGAGTTCGTCCTCTCATGACTACTAAGTACCTGACCTTCAACCAGAACACATTCATAGAAAAACTAGGACCTTTCGGATTTGATGCCTTTCGCATGCTCGTTGTAGATTTCATGCACGAATGCGAACTAGGTACATGGAAAGCACTATTTACACACCTCATCCATCTGCTATATGCCCTTCCTGGTGGTGACCAGCTGGTCGCAACTCTTGACAATAGGTTTGTCCCATGCCATTCTCCTGACTCAAAGTGACAATGTTTAATTTAGATTTCGCCACGTCCCTTCATATGGTCATGGGGTTATTCGCAAATTTGCGAACAACACCTCCGAAATGAAAAGGCTCGCAGCACGGGACTTTGAGGACATTTTGCAGGTTTGTTTCATTCATTCAGTTATCAACATTTGCTATCTAAATCCTTCTTAGTGTGCTATGCTGGTCTTCGAAGGACTTTTTCCAGAAGACCATGACGTGCTCATACAAACACTTCTGTACAGATTTGCCCAATGGCACGCCCTCGCCAAACTAAGGCTACATTCCGAGACCACATTAACAGTTTTAGATCAGACGTTCAAGAGGCTGTCCTGTCAGCTACGAAAATTCCGAGATCTCACATGTGCCGCCTTCACCACAGTAGAATTACCAAAAGAAAGGGCTGCCCACGAGCGCAAGGCTGCCTGTGAATGCTCAGGTGCCGACAACGCAGATGCTGGGAGTGGTTGCCGAAAGGGTAAGAAATTTAACATGAATACTTACAAGTTTCACGCTATGGGAGATTATCTACACTCCATCAAGCTCTTCGGGACCACAGATTCATTTACGTCACAAATTGTACGTTAATCTCTATGTTTTCTTTACATTCCAATTGATTCCTGGTCAGGGAGAGTTGGCTCATAGAGCCCTTAAAGCATTCTATCCATTGATCAGCAAACTCAACACGCCAGCTCAACTTGCGAAGCATGAACATTGTCGTCGAGTCCTTTGGCAAGTGGCAGGACATAATTTGCACTCTACGGAACAGCCACTGGTTGAATTACCTGTCGGGCTGAAGGATCACCATTATATACCAACACTTTGCCACAATAACCCATTGGATCTGTTCAGTTTGCTTCGAGATCATGATAATGATCCAGCTGTCGCAGTAGGTGTTACTCTCCTGATGTTCATCTTATTCAGAATATTATGCAGGAGTTCATACCCAAACTCAAAGACCATATATTATATCGTCTTCAAAACTTACATGTTGGCTATTGTGACCATACTTTCACAGATGCCGAGCGCAATTCAGTCATAATCTTGAATAACAGGCTCTACTCTGTCCAAACAATGCAGGTATGATATGTACATTATCAGTTTGCTGGTGTATGATACTTCTATTTGACAGATTCGTTACACGACATACGACCTTTGGCGCAAGTATGATACAATCAATCCTCGAACATACGCCAACATCATGGTCTTATCTGGGGAGACAAGGCCCCGACATCCATATTGGTATGCCCGTGTTCTGGGCATTTACCATATGGATGTAATGCTCAATATCGAAGGTCCAACAAAGAGGCACCAAATTGAGGTCCTTTATGTCAGATGGATGGCGCCCTTGACCGACCACCAATCAGGGATGAGCTATGCTCAACTTCCAAAGCTTGTGTTTTTCGAAGATTCTGATTGCAATGCATTTGGCTTTCTTGATCCCAGCCAGGTCATCAGGAGCGCACATCTGATTCCCGCATTTGCTTCTCACCGCAGAACGACCTCTCTTCGCCACGGAAAGTCATTTGCATGACAATGTGGTGAATTGGACGACTGGGAAGCTTATTACGTGGGCATGTAAGTGCACTGTTTCGTCCTTTTGTCTTCACTCTGACTGTTAACATTCAGATTCGTCGACCGGGACATGTTTATGCGTTATACACACTACGGTATTGGACATTCTACTGTTCTGCGTGAACTAGCGAGAGACTGTGCCAACGCGGACTTCACAGATAGTACAGAATTGGAAGCAAATGAGGACGACGAGCGGGAGAGCAATATTCAGTCTCGTCGTAGTGTCAGTGGAGATGGAGGAGGGGAGGAAGATGAAGGTGACGAAGAAGATGATGAAGAGTCGGAGTGTGACGATGATGAAGAGTCTAGCATCCAAAGTGACCTGGACGAGGAGGGGATGGAGGTTGGTGAGGACATAAATGAGGAGGCAGACGAGGATGACAAGGATGACAACATGTTGTCTTTTTGATTCATAACTTACTATCTACGTATACCAGTACTAGAATTTTTGTTTCCATTATACCCCCCCTTGCGCTTATATACTCTCCTTATATCCAGCTCTTTTCAGCTAAAATGAGCAGCATGTTTCAAAGTTAAATTGACGCATCACGTGACGGACAAATCTAGGTCTGACGATGTTTGTCTACTTCGCCTTGCTCACAACGTCCAAGTCCAGTGGGTCTTTTGTTACCGATGGCTAACATACACTCATAATTATTATAGGGAAGCACTTTAAGTACTAGGAGCAAGTCAACTACTTCAACAACCCGGATGCCCAACGACCTCACAAGCCTCCAGTCCTTGATTCCATCATTCCTGAGACGCTCTCCTGCCTATTCACAGCATTATAACGCTATGTTCATTCTGATGTCCCAATTCTGGTAACTCTCGCCACTCCCTCCAAAGATGGTGCTTATGTCGTCCCAAAGGGCTACTATGAGCTTGCTTCTACTGTTGCAGCCAGGTTGACCACTGTATCTGGGCTAACCCCCATAAAGTGGGACCGACACAGTTAAATGATCCTGGGAGTGTTATTGCTCAGGCGTTCAAGACTTACTCCAACGAGAACAGCAAGAAGATTTCGGTGTTGTAAGTGAAGGCACTGAGAACCCGTACCAACCCTCCGGTGCTGGGCGGCGTAGATGCATTGGCGAGCATGATTACCTGCTTGCTCAAGTGAATTTGGCTGATTTTTTTCAATAGGTCGCATACCTGCAACTTGAGACCATGATTTCCAACATCATCCGCAAAGTCGATTTCGGTTAGAGGATGGCATCATGGAGATCCCAGCACACAGCCACCATGTATGTCTCTTCAGCCCATACTGTTCAGGAGTTTTGTTGATTGTCCTTCCATAGACCACGATCATGATGCCCGGAATATCTGCTACAGATGCAGGAGATTTGATAAGACTATATGCTCCACTTCCTCTAGACATCTATACCATACAAGCGATCCCCTTCGGGCAGTAGTGCTACAAGGATGTACGCAGACTAGTGGCCACCATGAACGCTGATGGGAACCACCACGCTCACCAGGTCTTAGAGCCACAGAAGCAGACACAACTGTCCGTAAGCGAGGGTCGTCTACTCCAGGCCAGTTGGCGCGAGGTCACTGCAGTATTACAACTCGCCTGGATTATATCTCGCCTGTAATAACCTAGTTCTGTGCCCTCCTCCCTTACCTTTAAAACTTTGTTTGGAGATGTGGTCTGAATGAAAGAAGGGTGTTGCGCAGATTTCGGAGTCGGCAACCCTGCAGTGCACGGTTTTTACCAGTCGTGCGGAAGTCTTCTCGCAAGTCCGTTTCTTTGTAGATTTTATTTGCACTGATTCATCTGTATCGCTAGCGGCAGAGCCAGTAATCCAAGTTAATATCACATTATGATACCATATTCTGAGCAACGAGACCCACTCTTCAGTTCTCTCTCCCCCATATCCTCTTTAGGCTCATTGACCTTATTGGGTTATTTCACCTGATACGTCTCGACATTTAGCGTGCATGCACACTATAAAGGAGGGGTTTCTTGTCTGCATATTCTCTCTCATTCTCTCACCATCTCTCATTATTTTCTCTTACTCGTCTCTCACTCGTCACTCTTTATACTTATCATGTTCGCTTTAACATCTCTCACTACTACCATGTCTGTGTCGGAGGATGACCACCACACCGGAGCTCACTCACTCGCACCTTCAGAACCCTCTGGTGCAGTCCCTACCTCCATAGAGGCAAGGGCCAAGCGTTGTATCGCCGCTTTGGAAGAGGAATTGCAGGTGATGAGGCAAGAAAGAGGAACGAAGCAAAGGTTCGTCACTCATCTTACTTACTATATACATTTCACTCATTGATCCTCAAAGAAAAACCACGTACTATGTTTCTCAAGGCCGGGCAGTCTGACGTATGGTTGTCCTCTATGATAACATTGAAGACTTAATTGCCGAGAATGATTGCAGATGCGAGGAGGGCTGGGAAGATTCTACCGCAGAGTAGGTCTTTTTTTCATTGTTCTATAATGTGTTTAATCATATGATATAGCCAAAATTGTTTGCAGCGTGGATACGTCGCATTGATGCAAGTTCTCCTGTGGATTCATGAAAAACTTGCACAACTTGACTCTGATGACGCCGAAGATATGCTGAAGAAGGTGCATACTCTCACTTGCTGAACTTTTTGCGCCACACACTGATAATTTTTAGATTAAAAGAGGAGTGGATGCAGCCCGCGGTGACGATACGTCCACTCTAAAGGATTTAGTTGCCACCTGGGTCAATGAAACTTTTCATCCGTCCCATCTACTCAACTCCGGTGACAAACAAATGTGCGGCTTCGCACATGACGCCTGTGGCAAGCTACTCTGCCCTGCCGAGTGGGACTGGAGTCAGGAGTGGTGAGCGTCAATCTTTGTTGAATATTACGTGGCATTAATAGGCTTGGGCAGCGTGAAGGCTGGCATTCGCAACAGAACTTCAGATTACATTATATCAGAAAACTCATGGCCGCTATTTGTGTACGAGAACTACTCAGTTAACAGTAGGGACCTTGAGCAAGGTCTTTTTAGGTCGAAGATACTGGTTCAGGTGAGTCGCTTGTAGTCGTAGTTGTGAATACTTATAAATTTGTAACGTCGCTAGGCTTTTAAAGCCACCTTTACATCACCATCCTCCGCAAAAGAGGCTGATGATGATGGTGATGGAGCCGACATCCTCGAGAACAACAGGTGCGCCCGGCGGGCACTAAACCAGGTCAAGGTCAAAATGTGCATTGCCTCAATCATCAACATGAGAAAAGTCACTCCCTGTTCCATCGCTTATGTCATTTGTCAAGTCAGTTGATACGATTACCCTCCGTTTACGGCTAGCTTACGGTTACTGTCTGGCAGGTTTGTTTTGCGCTATCCAGTGTCTCATCTTGGTGCACCGTTGACGGTGACTTCGACTACGAAGCGTTTTGCAACAACATCTTAGATTTCTTCGAGGACGTCCCTGGACCTGTTGTATGACGTAGGGTGAATACGCTTCTCGAATGGTGGACCAGGTATTGACTATGTTGTAGCATGTGTGTTATATATCTAACCTAACTGTTTAGGAAGGTTTTTGGAACAAACCATTGAGAGGACCTTACGCCCGAGGTAGTATCGAAGATGTCCGTCATGGCATTAGCGGAACAGAGAAAGGCATTGGAGGATGCTGTTTTTGATTCAGACTAGCCTAGCTTGATCATTGTTTTACCTTCCGTCGTACTACTGCTGCCGCAGTCCGGTCCAGAACCATGGTTTGAACCGGACTTTTGGTCCAGTTCTCTGCAGTTCGGTCCATGGTTCTCGCGCCAGCCAGAACCGGACCGGAAAACGGTTCTCGGTTCTAGATCTTCCAAAATGGTCCAGTTCTGGTTCGGCCTTCCCGAACCGTTCTGAACCCTTATTGACTTCGACTTCGACTTCGACAGCATCTGCCTCAACGTCAGACTGTTGTCTTCGGGATTCATGTTGTTGATTAATCAAGCTACATTTAGCCTTTTCGAAGGTAAGTACTAACTAATTAAACTCTCAAGTCTCTCACCCGCTCACCTCTATAACAGGAGGTTCTATTCATTGAGGACCGGCTACAACACTGTGCGGGCCAGCACCCATCGCTACCAGCGCACAACCCATCACATGCCATGCCACCTGCGCCTATGTTGATGCCTGCCACCTCACTGCATCCCCTCTTACTCGTTTGCTGTTCTTGCTGGCTGGCTTTTACTGGCTCGCTCGCCGTGTCTCACTCACCCTGTCTCTCGCTCACTGTCTCACACGCCCGGACGCTGAAGATGGATAAAGGATGAGAGGAGGAGAAAAAGAGTAGAGGAGAGAGAAATGCAGAGCACATGCAGCGCATATAGAGCCAACTCTAGATGGGGAGTTCTCTCAGCTGCAAAGGTGTGTCATGGTGTTTTATTGTTTCAGTGTCTAATGAATTTATTATCTGTATATGGTACCCGCACTCGTTGCCATCTCACGCCGCTGCTCACTGCCATCTCCTGCTGCTGCTCGCCGCCATCCTCAACCCATGCTCATGATCACCATCCTTCACTGCCGCTTTCCTATTTCTGGTTGTGTCAACCCCTCATTATCGCAATTGCTCTCCTGATACCTCTCGCGCATGGTAATTGGAGGGAGCAGCCATGTTATTAGATTAGTTACTCAACATGTAGACTACTTGGTACTTTGTTAATGTTTTTTTGCGTGCTCTTGCAATTTTTTTTTTTGGTTCAGTTCAGGTTCAAACCCCAAAAAAACTGAACTGGACCATAGAGAACCGTTCTCTATGGTCCGGTTCTGGGTTCGGACATTTTGTAGAACCGAACCAATGGTCCAGTTCTTGGTTCTCATCTAGGACCCTCTGAACCGGACCACAGCAGCACTACGTTGTACAAACGCTTTACTGTATCATTGTCTTTTAATATAATCAATCTGTGGTTTATGATAAAGATTGAATTTGTTTTCAAATTGGTGCATGCATAATGTTCACTGAGGATAGTAACATGGGTCCGCACCATTCAGCATGCCATCAACCATCAAACTTATTTTTCCTTACAACCTGGCCAAGTCATAGGGACACTTTCTATGTAAATAACTGTATTCATGACTGCAATAACGAATATTCTGCTGCCTGTGTGGAGCACCAATCGTGGAAATATGTGTCAGTAATATGCTCTTGGTGGAGGAAGCCACGCGCAGTCTCCACCTGAAGAACATCAGTCAACAATCCCAGACATGAGAGACGCATAATTGTGAGTGATAGAACTGCGGCAGACATAGATATGCCAAGATATATTCCAGCAGAAAGTAAAGTTAACGGATAATGTGTTTCTCCGGGTAATAATATGTCCTCCTTGTTAAAACGTGCAACTCATTCAAGATACCACGTTGTGTGGAGGCCACAGATGGATTGACCTGAATGAAACTCTGGACATACCTCATCACCTTCTCACAACTCCATCATCTTGTCATTCAGTCTCCAAAGGGCAAATCATTCTGCAAAACGAAATGTGTTGTATCCAGCATGCGAGTGGGCCGGGTGAATAGTTGTTATTATCATTTTTTGTCTTTGCCGAGGTTGATCTGAACCAACTGTCTTGCTATGCGAAGCTTATCCCAGAGCCATGCGACTTCATGACCATTGTGTCCAGGCTTCCCATCAGAAGAATATTCCGATCTTGTTCAGAACTAGCACCAACCTGATAGTCTTGCAGTTTGAGTTTAGCATGTAGCGTATCTCTCATTTCAGTTGAATGCTCCGTTGTTGCTCAGACAGAACACGAGAAGTATGTATTTTCACATCAGACATTTTCTTCGGTGTTGGTCCTATTAGCTGACATTGATTTTGGTATGCTAATGCGAACCACAGTTCCCCCGTCCACCAAGTGCACCTGTCATGTTAGAGTTTACGGATTGTGTTTTTGATGAAGGAAATCTAATGTTCATATTGTTTAGCAGATAATTGAGCGGTCATCACAATATTTCGTTTGATTCAGCAGCTAGACCGGAGGCTTGCAAATACTCATGCAATCCACTGATTGTGAAGATTGGACGTCACAAGCAAGATTATTTAGAGCTTCCAGTGTCATAAGCTAAGTGTACTCTTCTAAGCTATGCCGGTATACCGTTGTTGACAAAATTCTCTGATGTTGGATATGATGTGACATACCCACAGGACTCCATCTGAAGCATATGATGAACATCTCAATCAGTTCAAGCAAGTTTGTAACATGTGGGAGTCAAGGGCCCTGTGTTTTACCAAACGAATAGGTTGTCAAATGTGAACTTGGCATTTTCTTATTATGCAACCGAATACTCACAGCAGCTATTCCAAAAACATATGAAGAATCCCAGCCTTCGCGCCACATCAGGGAAAGCCTCCCCCCTGAAATTGAGGTAATTTCCAGTAAATCCCTGGTTTTCCTTTGATTTTCAGCGAAATCATGTTTTACTGTTTTATTTAAGTCCAGTCATAGTTTCAATGAATTAGTTTGAATTCCAAGTGATTTCTTCTGAATACCGTCGAATTCACGGTCATAATTCCAATGAATTAGGTCGAATTCACTCATCGGTCATTGTCAAAATACACGAAAATCAACATTATATTGGATCAGAATGGCCTGTCAGTATGTACGAAGTTGGGTCAGTAAATGATATACACGAACATGGGTATCTGAGACGACTATCAAACCAAGACGACTATCAAAATGTACAAAGTGAGATCAGTAATACATGGGTATCTGCGGGTGCACACAGCACAACAACCTTAGTTCAATCCTCGGACATTGCACTGAGATCGAGGTAGTCGAAGTTGCTCAATGCACCAGATGGCAGCAACACATTGTCCGACACACTAACATAGTATGTTAATGGCAGGCATTCGATCAGAGGATGATGAAACACACCAGACAGCCTTGTAAAGCCGTGCCATCAGCACGTGATACTGTTTTTTACTGCCTTCAAAGATCCGAGTGAGGGTTGCTTCATGGGCTTTGTAAATGCTAATGTAGACAGTAGCATCGAACGATTTGACTTGCAAGCTCGACGGTGGATTGCCGCTCCTCCAGTCCATCAGTATGGCATAGATCTGCAACAACCGTGACAATTAGTTAGTAAAGTTCATCTAGAAAATAAAAATAAAGAACCTACAACAGTTGCAATCAATGCAACCATAGCTATGGGGAGCTCCGGCTCATCATTGCCATCTAAGACCGACACAAAATCTTCATGTGATTGAACTCCAATCGAGTTCTCGCTGTCGAACAATGACTGATGTAGCGTATCGATCATGGCCTCATCGCAGAAAGGTTGATCACCAAGGACTTTACCCTGGGCAGTGACATCAATATTGACAGTGAAACATGACACTAACCACTCACATTTTGGTTAGTCGGAAAAATATACTTGTGACTCTTCAGGAGCTCTTCAACCTCCTTGGAACAACCTCTCCTAAGTGCGAATCGAGACACAACGATTTGATGAGCGAGCTTTTTGATACCAGTGCGGAAAGCACTAAGCCGTCGCATTTGCCTTGTATTGCATTTAATGTTACGGAAGTCAGACGCTGGGTGGGTAGTCCAACCCCAGAAAGTCATCTCATGTATAGGGTGAAGGCGGACAGACTTTACTACCTGCTCATCACCACCACAGAAACCCTGGTTAAATTCTGGCTGGCAAGGCCCACTGAGCAGCAATTTCTTCTCGTCCGTCCCTGGGATCGGTCTCTCCTGGAGCTATCTGACTATGAAAATGATATGGAAAGTGAGGAGCATTATGGGACCATCAGGAAAACCCTCCCATGTAAACTTAGGTAAAGCTGTTCAAATTAGATCTTTTTTCGTGCAGCTAACACATATTAGACATATTAGATGGGCTAGACAAAATGGCCAGACTATATTGCTGATTTTTAATTAGCCATACCTTGCTGCTATTTAGAACAATTAGATGTCCTAGTAGACAACTAGGAAGGCCTTGCACACCTTAGGAAACACAAATAGGAAGATTTTCACACTTGAAGTACACGGAAGAAATTGATGATATCATTAAAATTGTGTATCAGGCTAATGTGGTAATGTACAACTCATACGAGTAAAACAAACCACAAGAAAAACATAGCAAGCGGTCAGATATAATGAGCGAGTGAGAGATATCGGGGAATCAATGACTATCCAAACTGGCCCTTTGACTCTGCACAGAAAGCCGCCACAACTAACACGTCAGAACTCAATGGTTTTGGTCGCCTTGATATTTGTCAGTGACTCTGCACAGCGAGTTTAGGAATTGTCACATGGTATCTGCACGTGGAAGGGGAGATTAAGATGGATCCAAACAAGAGTGTCTGTCATGAAATAAGATTGACAGTCAGGACCATTTGAATATAAAGAATGTAATTAAAATTAAAAAAAAATCAGTGCATACCTGCGCAGCGTCAGCAGCCATCGAGCGAGCGAGTGAGAGAAACCATCAGCATTGGGTAAGAACTGTAATATAGAAGGAACAACAAATGAGAACTTACGCGTTGCAAACAGTCTTGCCTTCATCATCCTTCCTCCACAAAGGAATTGCCACCAGGACTCATCATCTCCACGACTCGGACCGGTGTCGCAGAAGAAGAAGAATGCGGTGGCGCTGCAGCCGAGGACAGTGTGGACAATGCAGAAGCCAAAGATGATGTACCACCTGCATCGTCCTTCTCCATGACTAGCATGCATGGACTTTGGACGTGGACGTTCATGCTACCAAAGAGAAGAGAAACGATACGTCTGCTCAGCAAAGTCCATACAACGTATATAGATGAAATAATACTACTCACCGATTGGCACCATCAAAGGTCGAAGTGCGGGATGGATGGTGTGAGTAGTTGTAGTAAGAGCGCACTTTGTTTGCACTTTGTTGGTTTTCTGTTGAAATCAACCGTGGGAGCTTTATAAAATATTAGTCATATTGATCGTTCGATTTTCGTTACACAAACAACTTCAAATTATTAAATGTTCTGCCTGCATATGGCTACCGCTGTCCTTCATCCCACATTACACTGCCAACAATGCTGACTTATACTGGTGCCGGGTCATGTAGCCTGCCAGAATGTCCCAGCACCACGGGTCCAGCTGAGCGGCTGCGCCGACTCTTCCCTTCATCTGTTTTCATTCTGTACTCACTGTCGAGCTCGTCGTACTCTACACCTCCTTGCTCATTTCTTCAAAGTCTTCAAATCCCGCCCACCACTCCCTATTCCACTCCCTTTATCCTAGGTGTCTATCAATTTAGTGTCCCACACACCATAGCTCATCATTTTTCCTTACTGAATTATCGTCACATTAATAGTTCCTTTTCGTTACATATCTCATTGAATAAACGGTTATCGGTCTTTGACATGTTCGAATTTCGTGAGCAGGTATCCTGCCCTCCCAGCAGCTCCACCTGCTCATGTACCACCCCAAGCTAATGCTCGGCCCAGCCCAACCTGGTAGAACATGTCAGCGACCCTAGAGCTAGACGAAGCTAGAACAGTTATTCAGCATCAATATTTCCGGCATTGTCTACCATAGTGCTTGCTAATGTTCTTGACGAGTGTTTATCATTTTATGTAAATACATACTTAGATCAATACAGTTTTGCAACATTGTGCTAGTTGCCAATGATTATCATTAGCTTGCACTATACTACTGTAGCGTTTCGACCTTAGGTTCATGGGAATATATGCACTGCATTACGTAACGGGTTTGTGACATGTTCGTCGACCTTTGCGACGTGCGACGAACCTAATTTAGGTTCGTCCAAGGCTCCAAAGTTATGCATCAAGGACCTCCGAGTCGCAAGTTCGGCCATCAATGTCCTCGCTTAGTACTCTAGGAGTTGCACTTCTGTGAGTCGTCAATGCTTGCCATCAATGTCCTCGCTTAGTGCTCTGGGAGCTGCACTTCTGTTGTGACTTCAGATCTGCCTAGGCCGCTTTGAATAATATAAACATTACTGCCAGGTATGTTTCCTGCAATTTGGTTTTTCACTGTTACTCATCATGTTTCCTCATAGTGATCTAGTTCTCAGATTTCCGCCTGTCTTGCAGGATCACCATCACCTGTTGACACCACCCCCTTACTTTGCATCTTTCATCCCTCTTCCCGATCTGTCATATCCCATATATTCACGCTTCTCTTCCGGACTTCGGACCCTGAGATCCGATCCGGTCCGATGTATAGATCCGCTTCCGATCCGATTTACGATAAGCTTTCTAATTCATTTCCTGTTCATATAACGTTAAACACAGCCTATTCGGTATTTCCTCTTCCCGGTGTTTCGGTTATACTTATTACCGGTATGCTTACTGATCTGTTAACCTATGTCTCATTTCCGACTCGTGTTTGATAACCTTTGCACATGCTTCGTACATAGCCTCGGACCTTTGCTTACTGATACTTCTGTTATCCTCATAGTATATAAACTCGTGTATATGTCCTGTAGTACCTCAGTTCGAATATCATCTTAGTTTGTCCTCTTTCTGTCCTCCGGACTTGAGTCCTTCTTACTCTTGTCACCCTCCGAGACTTCAGATAGATTCCGATAGTCTATATCCTCGGCTCTACCTTCGGGTAGTCTTACTCTGTTAGTTTCTAGTTTGGATACATCCGGATTAGTCTTATATATGTTTCCGATATCCGGAAGACATCCAGATATACTACGAGACCCGTCCGGACCTTCGGACGCGTTATCGTTAGTACTTTGAAATAAGGGACAGTACTTGGGAAAGAGGCACAGCATACGAGCTGAGGCCGAAGTCCTTCGGATCCGATCCTACGAGAGTACGACCTTAACAGATCTCTCAATATCAGCCCTCGTCAAGCTGATGATGGTGCAGAAGGTGATGCCGACACCAATTTGGATGAAGACCATGTTGCCGATGTTGATGAACAGCCTGGTGACGAGGCCCCGTTGTCGCTCCTGCTAGAGTTCATTGCATCAGGCAAGGATTGTGTACCTGACGGGTACATCACTGATGCAAATGGTTCGCTTCACATTGATACAGCTGCTGACATGTTCGAAGAAGTTGTTGTCGCTGGAGAACCTGAGGTCTTTGGGAGAGGAAAGCGGAGGTGTCTTGCTAACAAGCAATACAATGCATACGAGCAGCATTAGTATAGGTTATACATAGGTCATATTTTCTACAAAAATTGCATACGAACATAATGTCACAAACTTAGGTTCGTCCACCCATTTTTTCACCTGGGTTGCCCTATTAATAAGCCTTATTATACTTGGTAGTTATGTGTCTCGCCAACTATAATTAGGCTTGGTTTCATCAAATCCCTACACCAGTGTTAAATAGTGCCCCAGCTCCTCAAAATACCTTCAAAAAAACTATGTACACCTCACTATGGTGGGCGCACGCGCGCGCATAGGCTATATTCGGTAAGCATCCCGCCCCGCCTCAATTGCATCATATTCCTATTTTAATTCGGCACGCTCGGCAACGCCTGCTACGCTTCCTAATTCGAACCAAGGGGCCCTTCTCACGCTTCCTAGCTCTCCTCATCACTGTGCTCATCGTCCCTGCTGTTCCCCGCCTCCATCGTGCCCCCATTGTTCCGCCTTTGTCGTCGTTGTCGTCAACCTCCTTCATTCCTGCTGTTTCCCACCTCCCTCGTGCCTTCGTCGTCGACCTCCTTCGTACCTGCCGTTTCCCAACTCCCTCGTGCTTTCGTCATTGCCCTCCTTCGTATCTGCCATTTCCCACCTCCCTCATGCTTTCGTCGCCCCAACCCAGTAATGCCTCGTGCCTCAGGTGTCGGGAGGGTCAAAGGGCTCTCAAAATCCATCATTTCCCATGGTTTTAGAGGGGGTCATCGCTATTCCAAAGTCCTGGCAGCCGGCAAACAAAGCCAGTGTATGGCAGAGGCAGATTCCAGCCGCCAGGCTGCTATACAAGGTATGTACTATTTTCTTTTTTTATCATTAACGCTTATTGTTGTATTAGAAATGTCAGCAGAGGACCGAAGCCACGTTGAAAATATGATGGCAGATTTTGGAATGGACGTGGAGGTGTTCACCCATACAGTGCCTCCAGGTGAAGAGGCCTTTGACCTCAGTCACGCAGGTGGGGAGCATGAGGCATTTGAAGACCTTGCTCATCAACTGGCGGATCTAACTGGATAGTACGTATTCACCACTGTGTACAACTCTTCAAATATTAACACCCATTGTAGTCATCACATTGATCCACGAATTCGGGGAGAACGCATCGATACTCAAACCGCTCATTGGGGCCTTCAGATAGATCATCTTGTTGACGCCTACTTAAACTATCACAGTTGAGATTCCGGGGATGGTATGCCTGATATTTCAGATCAGGTCCTGTCAGGTGTCGATGCTTCATTCTCAATTAATGAGATTGAACTCATTGATACATTCAGTAAGTCTGAAATGTTCCTTGATATCTTGTACTTATTTTTTCTTTGCAGCACGAAGGTGTTCGCATCTACGACCATTACCGTCTCATCAATACCCGAATGAAACCCTCATCTACTATGGGTACATTGGGTGTGCCCCGATGTATCCTTCTGTTGCCATCTCGCTTCGTACACTCGCTGCCTACCGTCAGTCGCACCGAACGTGTCCCCAGTTCAGTATCAAATCACAATGCAAGACTTTATGTTACCTTCACGATGTACGTACATTCCTCACATTGAGGTTCGTTTATTTACGTTGAGTTTGTAGATTCCATATCGGCCATACTTAAAAATGCAATTCTCGGCAGCCTATGACATTTTTCTAGAAATCCTCCATCGCATCAACCAGCATCTGCGTCAGGCGCTCAAACGGGATACCGTCAACTGGCGTATGTTAAACACATGCCCTGCATGCTTTTACAAGCTCGACGATGAACCTGCCCTCGATTTTGAATGGCTGGTATCAATTGATGGTAACAATAGCCTGAAGCGATGGGACTCGTCCATCTATGGTACCACCGCCCGATCTGATTCTCGCACAGCTCGTTCGGATTATTGGATTCATGCTGACGCTGTTGACAAGTTTGAGAATGAAGTCAAATCCCGACAAGTAAGTGTTTACTATGTATACAACTATGTTCTAACATTATCTTTTAGACAGACTTGAGGAATGATGACGACTGGGAGGATGAGCCTACAGACCCAGATCATCCGGGAGTATTCACATGCATCAATCAATGGAGAAACACTGGCCCAGACTCACGTAAGAAGATGTTTGCCGTATTCCAAGAGTCAGGTATTTTTATCGCTTCATGCCGCCATCGCTTTGTGCTTCTCGTGTGTGATATGATCCGAAGCGGAGAACTGTAAGACCACATTTTGATCTAATTTTTATATTACTAATGTATTCTGGCAGTGCGAAATATCCGATAGCGATCATCGACAAACTCCTTACGGTATATGGAAAAAATGGAGGTTGCGCGTACGATATCGGTTGCGCATTCTCGAAGACGTTAGCTAATAGTACGTTGGGCCCTCGTGCACACGATCTCGGCTTTCGGATGATGGTTGGCGCCTTCCATGGCCATGCGCACAATCGAAGGTGTCAGCTTGACTGGCACCCAATGTATATCTCTGGAACTGGCCATACTGAGGGTGAGGGTTGTGAGCATATCTTCTCTGCATCTAACGAGCTTGCGCGTAGCACAAGGCATGCTAACCGTTTTCATCGCCACCAAGCCATCGAGGAACATTTTGCTTTTTGGGATGCTGATAAGTATGCTGCACTTAGTACATAAGTCAAAAAATCAAGCTGTAATTGTAATACTGATGCCACAGTGTCAGGTAATTATTTGTGGACTCATTATCGCGAAGCGTTGAAATCTGTTCGGTTGCTGACAGCCGAGCTAGAAACTATCAAGGCCGAGCTACGCCTTAGCGACAACGACTTCCCTGGATTCTTTGATCAGGAACGCATATATCTGGATGGTTTGAAGCAGCCAGCTCCACGAGATCGACTCTCTATACGTTACGTTGAAGTACTAGATGAACTCGCTGAAAGAAGGTATCGTGCCATCAACTACTAACTACCACCCATCCCCTGATATGAATTTTAATAGAGCTGAATGGGATCTCGCCCGTGAATCTGGCAATAACGCTCTTAATGGAGTACATATCGGCAGCTTGGAACAGATGCATGACGCCCTGAAGCAAGCTCGCATCCGAGTTAATTCTTCATACGCCAAATTACAGCATGCCGAGGGGCTTGTTGCTCATTGTGAAACACTCTTATCTGTCGATGAGAGATGGTTGATTGGCGGTGACGAATACAAACGTTTCAAGGAGGAAGCGACACTCGGCAAGTATCGTACTGCATTGGATGAACTCGAACGTTTGGTCGTCATGAGATTGTTTGAACTCTCAAAGCTCTCGTTATCGGGCACAGGTTTGAGATTTCCACTACTAGTAAGCGCTTGTACTATGACTGATTCGTTTACAAATTGTTTAGGATACAAACTACGTCAACAGATTAGTAAAGCTTTACAGCGGCACTCGGACACTATTCGCAATGCGATCAATCGCTACAATATCCAGGCTGCTTCCCTCATCCCACTGAGACAAACGATCACATGGAAAGACATTGCCGAATACAGTTTCCTTGGCGAGTTTGACCTTCTGCGTGACTCTCGTACTGACATCCAAGACAAGGATTGGGCAAGGCCAGCTCACCGTGAGGCGACTACAAAGTACTTCAAGCTCTGCCGAGCTCGCGAAGAAATTATTCGACTCAATATTGAAATTCGCCGGCTCCGAACTGCTATCCACGATGAAACCATTGACATGTCTGCCGTTATCGACGAACTTCTTGTAGCTAACCCTTTGCTTGCTGCCGAGTTGAAACGCCAGTGGCGCTCATGGGCGGCTATCAACGCTGTGCACACATATCGGTTAGATCAGATTGAGAGACTATTTGGATTCTCTGGTATTAGTGGCATTGGAACTCGCCTTGCGAATCCTGCGTTCAGCAGACCAGTCAATACCAACGGTGCTAGTTCCGGTGAGTGTGGATCTTTAACTACCTATATCGCATTAATTCTCGCCACAGCACAAGCAGAGAATCCTGATTCTTCTGCGTCGGAATTCCATGATATTGAAGCCCTTGACTGTGAAGAGCACAAAGTGGTCACCGAAGACATGGCTTATTTTTTGTACTCAATAAACGACTGACACCATCTCTGCTTTGTAATTGTTTTTTTTCATGTACCGCATAGGACTACATATATGAGAAGTTTTCTGGTTTGATCGGTGATATAAGAAAGAGTAGGTAGACAATTGTATAAGTGATTGTGTGGGTGATATAAGAAAGAATTGAACAACTTGAATACCTATGATGTTCGGATAGGTTAGTTGGCGACCCCGAGCTTTCTGCATGGTGACCTCGTCGCGATTCCTTGATCCAACTTGAATGTCGATGATGTTTGGATAGGTGAGTTGGCAATCCCACCTTGATCCAACTTGAATGCCGATGATGTTCAGAAGTTGGTGATCCCACCTTGATCCAACTTGAATGCCGATGATGTTTGGATAGGTTAGTTGGCTCTCAAGCTTTCTCCTGTGGTGACCTCATCGCGATGATATTCAGATAGGCTAGTTTGGCGACCCCTGGTAGGCTTTCTTGAATGTTAGGGAGACTCTTTGCCTGACTCGGAGGATTATGCGGCTATCTGAAGTGTCATGCCGTTCATAGCATAGTCCTTTGTCATTCCTGTATGAATATGCATTGTATACTATTTTGTACTATGTAGTTGTGTGATATCCGATCTTGCAAAGTGAGCTCACATGCTGTATTGAGTGTCAAATCACGGACAATGCAATATTCTGCTGAACACATGTATTCAGCTGAATTCTATAGCAGCAACTTGAAGTCGCCAGCCTTTCATTTTCTTCATGGTTTACGACCACTGCTATTTCGTGCTTGATCTCTGCTTCTGGAACTCATTCCAGAATTGCATGGCCTGCAAAAGTGAGTATTACATTTTACGTTTTGGCGCTTATCCGTGCTTTTAACCTTGCTTCACAACTACAGACTACATCACCGGTTCCACAATAGTCACTCCAATCTCTAGCCTCAGAGCCACTGCGTCTATCACCTCTGTTCAGCCCTCAAGTCAAACCACGGAATCAGCCACTAAAAAATTCGCCATCCCCAGTCTTGCCAATCTACACAACTCAACGTTCGCTCAAGGATTCAGCAATAATGAACGTCAAGCGGCCGCCAGGGCTTTACTGAGACACGACGTTCACATTGACGGGACACACTATCAGGCTAGACTGCCTGGTGGCCTTCACCCGTCGTACTTTGCCTTTAGCAGCACTGCTAAACGAACCAGTGAAAAATCCCTTACCCACGAGGAGCTTCTGGAGGCATCGCTGGAAGATGTCTTCGACGCCGTGAGTCATTCAAGTCAGTGTCTGCATCTTATTTATGTCTCACTTGTTTCCCAGCTGAGTATGCAAGATCGCCTTGATGGCGGAATTTCTGTCCTCATTCGATGCGCTGGGTCTGAAGCAGTCGCTTCACCCAAAAACCTCCCTGTCGACCTCTACATTACACCCCGCGAACTACAAGAAACTCCTGAGCGAATTGGCGGAGACCTTGCCATCTGGGTGCAGGTATTTGCCCAGGAGTTTGCAATGCCACACCTCGAGCGGTTCAATCAATGTTGTGTCATCGAAAACATCCAACCGCCACCATGCTGTAAGTAGTATATCATTTTCGGCTTCACTGTTCACACAACTGACTCAAATTCAACAGTTTCTGCGGCTCATATCAATGTCAAGGGCCCACAGTATCTACCTGGCCCAGTGGTTGCTACTGGAGCGCATATACAATGTTCTGCTCAACCGGTGTAGAGACTCGTGCATCTCATAGTGTGATATGGCGCTTTACACTAGGGAGTATACAGCACCAACTCGCAGCATCACTCTGTGTACCATCCACAGTGATTCCTATATGACACGCAGCTTTCCCGCGCAATGCGCGCCATGCGCGCACCATTCCCGCGCTTCACGATGTATACGCGCGCGCGCGTTCCCGCGCTTGCGCGCCCTATAGCGCCAGCCATCCAGATGCATCCATCCACTGTCCACCAAGCTCCCTAGTGCGTATATTTCCATTTCCTTTATTAGCATAGTTCCACCTTTATTTTTATCATAGTTTCTCACTCATATATATATTTACATACCTACTCGGTAGCGCTTCGGCTCCGCATGAGCGCGCTTAGGCGCGCTATATAAGCGCCAGCAGTACATACTATTATTTACCTTACTTTTCACCCAACTTTACCTAGTACTTACTACTTAGAAAGTCGCAGTAGAAATCTATTCATTAGCACAACACATCTCACATCCTTTATCTTGCTTATATCTTCACATAAGTTTAGTCTCTCTTATTTCCGCTTACACGCGCGCGCTTTCCCGCGCTTCGCGCTAATACGCGCGCGTGTTCCCGCGCCTTCGTACCTTGCGCGCACCTGCGCTTTCTCGCGCTTCGCTGAAGCGCGTACCTCTAGATCTCCGCTGCACCTGCTTCCCCTTTAGGGTCGAATGCACTTGCCATCTCAAGTATCGCAGACTAGGCAACGCACGACCTACAACTTTTTAGATACAGTCAGGAGCATTTCTTTGTTCCTCTCAGTATTGTTGTTTCTACACCGGCCCATACCTTCACGCAAGAATTGAAAGCAACTGCGGTGCACGATGCTCCTTCTGCAGCTATCCATGGGGGTGCAGAAATGAGCGAAGGTATTGGCGAGAACATTTCGCCACAGCTGACCACCCAACACACATGAGTTCACCGACGCAGGCACGCAGAAATTTTCACACCCGGCAAGGTAACTAATGATGGCCCGATTTTTTCGGTACCAAGACTGGAGCAGGATACTGCATGTGGACCGCCACTCATTAGTATTGGACCGAATACTGACGCCGCTCTGGATTGGATTAAGTTGGGGGATGAAGTTTTACCTAAGCTCCGTGTTCTAGTTCAAACTGTGCGTAGCAGCCGATGGGAGGCAGTGTTCAGGTCTCCAAAATGGGATCTCTCGTATGAACATGCTTCCATTCTGTCTAGGGCGCTCCTGGCTGACCTTCAGGGCATGCCATGTAGCCCTGATGTTGTAAAGGTCAGTGATATTATTTTGGCTGCTGCTGTCATACTAACTTAATTGAATGTCCATAGCAGCCGTCATCTGTCCTCATGTCCATTTTGAAGCTTATTGGTATATTGATTTTCTTATGCGGCCTATACTTTTTCGGCATCTTATTATTTTGGCTGTAGATCACTTTCCCCTTTTGAGTCTTAGTTATGAGCCATGTGTCCTGTTTTTTTGCCGTGGGTTAGAAAAAATAAATGCATTGGTGTGTATAAAATATTTGTATTCAACTACAAAGGCCCTTTGCTGATTTTTGCCATCCTTCTGTGGGTGATGGTCTCCCAGTCCTTCTATGCTGCGAAGCGCATTCAAGCACCACCTCGTAGTCGTCCTAAGGTCACCCTCAGCAAAGAAGCTTGCGCGGCACTCAAGTTTCAGCGAACCGAGAAGTCGCGTCAATTCAAGGATGCGCTTGATCTTGCATGGGGCCAAATTGACGATGTTACAACAACCATTGCTGCTACCCATCGCAAGAGCTTCCGTCGTGTACAGCATGATTTATACATGGGTCGGGGATCACTCCGTTCGAAGCATTCAAAGCCCAGCGTTTGGAATGCATTTTGCTGGAAGAAATCTCAGGAAGC